TCACCTGCTTCCCTCATCATGCTCTCCTCTTCTGAATACGTCTGAAGGGGAGGAAAGGAGATCACCCCGGGTGCCTGGTCTGAAGCCATATCTGGGGCAGATCTGGTGGTCAGACTCCTCCATCCAGCCTGGCATGCCCCCCATGGTCGAGAGATCTGTCTGCAAGACTAAAAGCAGGACAGAGAACAAGTTGGAAGAATAATATTACAGAGTCATGTCGGTCGCCATTCGCCACTAATGGCACAAGTCAGTAACTTAGACGTTTCTTTTGGAGTTAGCAACCACTGTTTAGTTAGTGATAAACAAGTTAGTTTGTCTGCTAGTGTTAGCCGTCTGTTAGCTAACAACGTCACGTAAGCAAGAAGCAGACAGATTACCCAAGGATGAAGGACTAACACAGTGCAAATATGTTGAAATCGGAGCAGAAATAACGCAAATGCACACAAATATGACCATAATATTTAGTCTCACCTTTGAGAAAATCCTGACCAACGGGGCAGCCATGATTTGTTACGAAATGTTTACTTGCTGCCTTCAAGTGCCTCTTGTACGAGTCGAATTTAGTGGTTGTGTAATCACGATGAACATTGGTTATGATAAACCTTTAAGTAAGTACTAAATAAATATAAGCTGTTGGGCATAGTTACCTTTTACCAGTGGCTTTGAATAAAAATAAGTAGAATACACAGGAAAAGTGTACCACTGGTTTGAGAAGCGTTCTTGGGACTCGTTTGTATGTTCGTTATTGATGGTTTTATTTTTTCCGATGGTACCCGAAGTACCCAACAGTTACGTTTAGGGTACACGCGGAACACAAGCAGGGGTATCAGAGAAAAAAAAGCGGAAGCAGTCAAGCGTTCACCTGGTAACGATTGTAGCCGATAATTTATCCCGAGGGGCTCCATTTCCACATTTCTCTCTGTTTAGCGACAATGTTGTTCAGTCACTGAAAGGTAAGATATGAACTGCGGTGAATATGGTGTCAAATAACCGGTGTTAGGTGACGTTAGTACTGTTGTTAACGTCTATGAGCTAACGTGTTTTATAGGCAGCTAGTTAGGTTAGCTTCTGCTGGTCATTAACTGTCAAATGTCAAAGCTGAGTTGTCACACGTCTGACTATTAACTCATGTCCTCAGGTTCAACACAGACGGAAGAAATGGAAGAGATAAAGAGCGAGCCTGTGGATTTTGTGAAGGAATTTCAAGAATACCTGACACAGCAAACCCAGCATGTCAACATGATCTCAGGCTCTGTTTGTGGGGAAAAAGAGTCAGCGGAGCATTTTCAAGCCGGTGGGAAAGATGCACATTAAATTTAAAAAAAAAAACACCGTGTCTTTGATAAATACAGAGTAAGATGTTAAAGTCATGGTGTGTTTGCTTGTAGCTGCACCCAGAAGTGAGCAGAATGGTCTGGACCCTCCGTCTGTGGAGGTGAGCCTGCCACTTGAGGATGGGGCAGACGTACAGATGGACGGCCTGGAGAGGACCTGCGATGGGAAGTACAAGTGCAGCTACTGCAGCTATGCCAATAAGGGCATGGCTCGCTTAATAGAGCACATCCGCATCCACACAGGTTAGTGTTTCCACTGCATTCATTCACTAGGTGGACACCAATGCCCGAAATGTTACAATTGAAACACTGCAAGCAATCTAGACTACTGAGGAGTTGTCGTATACCAGTGGCTCTCAAGGTGGGGGTCATTAAGGTAGTTTACATTTGTAAAATTTACTTTTTTTTTCCAGTGGAAATGTTCCCAATCAGATAAAACAGTATATGTAAGTTGTACTGTATTTACAGCTATAAATACATTTAAGTTTTCCAATATAAAGTGTAGATCAGAGCTGCAATGATTACTCAATTAATTGATTAGCTGATTGACAGAAATTTAATCAATTATTTATATAATCCATTAATTGTTTTAGTAATTTTTCCAATTAAAAGTACCAAACATTCCTCAGTCCCAGCCTCTCAAATGTGAGGATCTGATGCTACATTTTGTCATTTATAACAGTAAATATATCATGTTTGAGTTTTAGACAGACAAAAAGAAGAAATTTGAATACATCACCTTGGGCTGTGGGAAATTACAAGTGGCACTTATCACTTCTTTCTGGCATTTTTTGGACAAAACGATGTCAGATCAGATTGATTGATAATGAAAGTAATCATTGCAGCCCTAATGGAGACAGTGATACTACTGAGTCTTCCCATGTCCACATACCCAGGGCAGAGTCTCATGAAATGCAAAATCTTGTCCAAATCTGTGACTGCTCAAGAGTACACGACAGTGGTTGGAAATAACGATGAGTCACACATAGTTTGAATGGCATTCTAGTTGGTCAAAAACTGAACACACACATTTCCAAAACCAGCTATCCTATGATTTATGTTTTCTGATTCAAGGGTGTTGTATGCTATACAGATTGTTAAGCCCCTAGAGGAAAAGATGATGATTTTTTGATTTTGGCTTTAAAAATTAAATCTGATTTGACTCTGACATCTGTTGTAACTTCTATGCTAGGATTTTATATTGTTAATGATGCCAATTCTCTCTAAATAATTAGTAAGCCACATTTATGTCAAAATGATTTGAAATTCTGGAGACAGTTACAATGTGATCTACATTAATTAGACAATTAAGGATGAAATATTGGAAGATCTTATTGCTGTCTGTTTTTTGTTTGTATAATCTAGCCCTACTTTATACAATCCCTTGTGCAGCACACATAAGACGTTGTACTTATTGCCTCACTGCTGTTTACTCTTTCACAGTAGAATATCTAATATCAACCTTACTGCATTTATTTCCTCTCATGATTATAACCCAGGAGAAAAGCCTCACCGCTGCCAGCTGTGCCCATTTGCTTCAGCGTACGAGCGCCACTTAGAAGCCCACATGCGCTCACACACAGGAGAGAAGCCGTACAAGTGTGACCTCTGCGCCTTCCGCTGCAGCGACCGCAGCAACCTGTCGCACCACCGTCGCCGCCGCCACAAACTCTTGCCCACTAGGGTCGTTCGCTCTCCTTTCTCCAACAAGAGAATGCTGAGCGCCTTGCAGAAGAGGACGGGCTCGCTGGGCTTCAGCAGGCGACTGCTCATTAATTTCAACCCTCCGCCCATGGTGATACCAAAGTCGGATTATCTGAATGACTTGTCTCACAAGATTCACCACCATTTGAACGGTAGTGAGTATAAGAATCTCCCCAAGGTGGATGAGAATGACAGTTGCAACAGGGGCGCTAATGATCTGACGTTTAATCACCCACTGGACCAGCTGTCTACACTTGCTGGCCAGTTGGCCGACCTTCACCCTGAGTCTCAGACTGCTGCATCCCCAGACAGGGAGTCCTTAAAAGACGAGAAGCCCATCCTCATACATCAGGTCTCTAGTGAACAGGTTGTATTGTGTTCAAACAGAGTGCAGACGTCACCGTCTAAAAAAGAATCTCCCACCTCGGTCCACGGCACTTGTAGTCCTGTTCCTGGCCTCGGTTTCGCCAACAACATGAACGCCTTTACTGCGAGTGTTAGCAACAGCCAGCCGAGCACACCCACTCCTGCCCTGACCATACCGGATCAACAGCTCTTGCATAAATGCCAGCATTGTGATATTCACTTTTCTGACAATATCCTCTACACCATTCACATGGGTTGTCATGGCTATGAACATCCTTTCCAGTGCAACATCTGTGGACACATGTGCATAGACAAATACGACTTTGCATGCCATTTTGCGCGCGGCCAACATCAAAAGTGATTGCTTATGACAAGGAACCACATGGAGTCATAGATTCTTGTTTTCAGTATTTTGCTTGTTACACTGATTTATATTTTTGTTATGTACAGTTTACTATCTATTTTACACTCAATACCTGCATTATATTTCTGCCTTACAGTTCTACATTATTCTCAACTTTGAGCCTTAATATTAGTTGTCAATGGACAAAACCACAGACACACCTTGCAGTACAGCGTAGTTTCCAGGATCTTACAGTCAGTGTTGCTTGTGTTTAGAATATCATTGGGATTTTGGGGATTTGCAACATTTTATCTCTTTGCAGTGACTCACCAGGGTTTCACTCAGCTCTCTCAGTAAAAAACTATTACATAGGCAGCTACATATGAGACATTTTAAATCAAAGACCAGTTAGCAGTATTTAAACTTCACTTCCCCAGCTTTGTATTCACTGCAGGGCTTTTGTCCAACATCTGTGTATCACTTGTTCAGCTAATTATGCACCAAAGTTTCTATCTCAGTTAAATAAGCTGGACTTATGTTGCTGTGAGAAACTAAAGTGGGATGTTCAGATGTCCAAAATTTAGGTTTGTGTCCAGCCACACACATCATAATCCTGCTTGCTGTTCTGATATTTATTTATACCTCACTCCATAGACTGTAGAAAGTGTCCAACCAAATGAGTCAGTAATATTTTAGATAGATTTAAGTATTTTTTTTTTTTTTTTTAATTAATTTATACCATTTTCTACAACTATTTATAAACTGTCTTGAGTAGCTTTGTTGTACCGTATATATCAATTTTTAGTACAAAATCAAATTTCAATGTAGCCACATTTTAAGTGTGTAGTAACTGATGTTGAGGCACTGTAAAGATCCAGGGTAACCCTGTTATGATGTAATGTGAAATAATGTTACTTTTTATTTTAAGTAGTAGTTTCTGATTTTGTGGAAATAATAATAAGAGTATTTGTAATCTTGGTCTAAAGTAAAGACTTATTCAGTTGGTTAAGTTGTTTGTATGTGATTAACTTATTTTGGACAGAAGATAGTAACTTTGAGATTAATGAGCTCTTATCAATTTAAACTCATATCACGTGTATCCTGACAAACAAGATGTTATCTGATCAACACTTCACACCATATTTGCAGAAACCACATACATGGCCACTACACAGTAGCTTATTGAGTGTTTAAAAAATATTTCTTTCAAGTTTTTCTTTCTAAATAAAATGATGCCACAATGTTCCAAGAACTGAGGTAACCAGCATTTTATTTACATTTAATTAAATACAAATTACACACATTCACTAATGACTGGATGCAATTAAATATTGCTTTGTGGAAAAAAGTCATTTATGGTCATTTATGATTCTCAGCAAGATCTCCTTTTTCTCGTGGTCGAAAACATCCACTGCTCTTTTCACCACACGTTCCACATCAAAGTCCTCTTCTTGAGTGAGCGACGTTTCCTGAAGCAACTGTTTTCGCAGGTTGTGAAGAAATGTTGCTTTGGATTCATTCAGCTGGGTCGCCAGAGACCTCATGTGTCCAGAGGACACTTGATTTTCTGAAGTTAAGGTGACAAATGTATCATTACGACAGGGCTGCAAATGACAAAGTGAGTAAACGGTGAAATGTCAAATATTATTGAAGCTCTCAGCTGACCTCTGGCAGTCTTCATGGCCTCAGAGATCAGGCGTCGACAGGCCTGGTCAGCCTGGTGGACCACACTAGAGGCACATTTCAGACGGGCGGCTTCCTGCATAGTACAGGACAACAATTTATAACAATAGATAAACAATACATTTTCCACCACTCTAGTTGCATATATTAAAATTCTTATTAACGCTGACACACCTTTTGTTCAGTGTTGTCCTCTACAGGGCTCAGCGGGTTGCTCAGTGCAGAGGAGATCAACTCCATTACCTTCTGGCTGAAGACAAGTCAGATCCACAGACAGATGCAACCAATTAATATCCAATTATTGCACTTCAGTAAAAAGTGTTAGTAACTGCTTGTTTTGCTGTCTTACATGTCACATTTGGACAAATTGTCTGTAGTGTTGAGGTAAATGCTTTTTGTCTCCCATGGGTTCTTCTGTGGATTTGGAGACTCCAAGCGCTTCACCATCTCTAATATCACCTCAGTGGGAATGGGCTCAGACCTGCTCTGGTTTCTGCTGATGCATGACTCCAAACCCCAGTGAATCTGCAAAGACAACTGACTGAGTAATTCAACCAAAGGGGCAACTATTTAAACTGCATAACGGTAGTTTTGCACGTTTGAGAAAATAATAAATGATTTATTTTCCCAGTCATCCAGGCAGCCGCCAGCAGCAGCAACACTAACACAAATTTACTTGAAGTCTTGAGACTTTCTTGGAATCACTTATTCATCATAGTAAACATGTAGTTGCCTTTAAATGCTCCAAAATGATGGTCTTCTGTTGCAAGACAATGTTTTTAAAAACATTCCCTGGTGCATTCAGGTGCTTGCAGAAAGCTCCTGGATTCAAGGATTTTGATAAGTTTGAAGCATGAAATCAATATATAAGCTCAGTGTCCTTTAAAAATTTTAAATAGATATCTAAAATATACAAGGATTGTAATGTATGGGCTAAAACTTGCAAAACTACCAGCATAGTCTTTCGCAAACATTCAGTGGTTTAACCTTTACACAGAAAACAGAGGCTCACGCTTTCTTGCAAGTTGGTACACTTCATATCTCATGCTTGGATAGTAGAAGTTGTCATCCAGTAGAAAGAGAAGTGGAGTCCGGTCAGCACAAGAGTGGTCCAAACCTTCAGGCTGCAGCAGAGTGCGAATGCATTGTTCCCACGCAGCCCTGTTGATCTGACATTTGCTTGGCAGCTCGGCCAACACTTCAGGTTTCTTCATGAACTGCTCAATGCACTGCAGCACGGCGTGTCTGTGTAACTTCCATTCAGTGTGCTGGGGGGGTGGGGGGACGACAATGAGGACAATGACTTGCAATATCTTTGATACTTATAGGGAATATGTGTGACCTTAGTAATTATTTGGTCTATGATTAGTAAGAAATAATAATAACAACAATAATAACCCTGTGATGATGTAATGTGAAATAATGTTACTTTTTATTTTAAGTAGTAGTTTCTGATTTTGTGGAAATAATAATAAGAGTATTTGTAATCTTGGTCTAAAGTAAAGACTTATTCAGTTGGTTAAGTTGTTTGTATGTGATTAACTTATTTTGGACAGAAGATAGTAACTTTGAGATTAATGGGCTCTTATCAATTTAAACTCATATCACGTGTATCCTGACAAACAAGATGTTATCTGATCAACACTTCACACCATATTTGCAGAAACCACATACATGGCCACTACACAGTAGCTTATTGAGTGTTTAAAAAATATTTCTTTCAAGTTTTTCTTTCTAAATAAAATGATGCCACAATGTTCCAAGAACTGAGGTAACCAGCATTTTATTTACATTTAATTAAATACAAATTACACACATTCACTAATGACTGGATGCAATTAAATATTGTTTTGCGCGCGGCCAACATCAAAAGTGATTGCTTGTGACAAGGAACCACATGGAGTCATAGATTCTTGTTTTCAGTATTTTGCTTGTTACACTGATTTATATTTTTGTTATGTACAGTTTACTATCTATTTTACACTCAATACCTGCATTATATTTCTGCCTTACAGTTCTACATTATTCTCAACTTTGAGCCTTAATATTAGTTGTCAATGGACAAAACCACAGACACACCTTGCAGTACAGCGTAGTTTCCAGGATCTTACAGTCAGTGTTGCTTGTGTTTAGAATATCATTGGGATTTTGGGGATTTGCAACATTTTATCTCTTTGCAGTGACTCACCAGGGTTTCACTCAGCTCTCTCAGTAAAAAACTATTACATAGGCAGCTACATATGAGACATTTTAAATCAAAGACCAGTTAGCAGTATTTAAACTTCACTTCCCCAGCTTTGTATTCACTGCAGGGCTTTTGTCCAACATCTGTGTATCGCTTGTTCAGCTAATTATGCACCAAAGTTTCTATCTCAGTTAAATAAGCTGGACTTATGTTGCTGTGAGAAACTAAAGTGGGATGTTCAGATGTCCAAAATTTAGGTTTGTGTCCAGCCACACACATCATAATCCTGCTTGCTGTTCTGATATTTATTTATACCTCACTCCATAGACTGTAGAAAGTGTCCAACCAAATGAGTCAGTAATATTTTAGATAGATTTAAGTTTTTTTTTTTTTTTTTTTAATTAATTTATACCATTTTCTACAACTATTTATAAACTGTCTTGAGTAGCTTTGTTGTACCGTATATATCAATTTTTAGTACAAAATCAAATTTCAATGTAGCCACATTTTAAGTGTGTAGTAACTGATGTTGAGGCACTGTAAAGATCCAGGGTAACCCTGTTATGATGTAATGTGAAATAATGTTACTTTTTATTTTAAGTAGTAGTTTCTGATTTTGTGGAAATAATAATAAGAGTATTTGTAATCTTGGTCTAAAGTAAAGACTTATTCAGTTGGTTAAGTTGTTTGTATGTGATTAACTTATTTTGGACAGAAGATAGTAACTTTGAGATTAATGGGCTCTTATCAATTTAAACTCATATCACGTGTATCCTGACAAACAAGATGTTATCTGATCAACACTTCACACCATATTTGCAGAAACCACATACATGGCCACTACACAGTAGCTTATTGAGTGTTTAAAAAATATTTCTTTCAAGTTTTTCTTTCTAAATAAAATGATGCCACAATGTTCCAAGAACTGAGGTAACCAGCATTTTATTTACATTTAATTAAATACAAATTACACACATTCACTAATGACTGGATGCAATTAAATATTGCTTTGTGGAAAAAAGTCATTTATGGTCATTTATGATTCTCAGCAAGATCTCCTTTTTCTCGTGGTTGAAAACATCCACTGCTCTTTTCACCACACGTTCCACATCAAAGTCCTCTTCTTGAGTGAGCGACGTTTCCTGAAGCAACTGTTTTCGCAGGTTGTGAAGAAATGTTGCTTTGGATTCATTCAGCTGGGTCGCCAGAGACCTCATGTGTCCAGAGGACACTTGATTTTCTGAAGTTAAGGTGACAAATGTATCATTACGACAGGGCTGCAAATGACAAAGTGAGTAAACGGTGAAATGTCAAATATTATTGAAGCTCTCAGCTGACCTCTGGCAGTCTTCATGGCCTCAGAGATCAGGCGTCGACAGGCCTGGTCAGCCTGGTGGACCACACTAGAGGCACATTTCAGACGGGCGGCTTCCTGCATAGTACAGGACAACAATTTATAACAATAGATAAACAATACATTTTCCACCACTCTAGTTGCATATATTAAAATTCTTATTAACGCTGACACACCTTTTGTTCAGTGTTGTCCTCTACAGGGCTCAGCGGGTTGCTCAGTGCAGAGGAGATCAACTCCATTACCTTCTGGCTGAAGACAAGTCAGATCCACAGACAGATGCAACCAATTAATATCCAATTATTGCACTTCAGTAAAAAGTGTTAGTAACTGCTTGTTTTGCTGTCTTACATGTCACATTTGGACAAATTGTCTGTAGTGTTGAGGTAAATGCTTTTTGTCTCCCATGGGTTCTTCTGTGGATTTGGAGACTCCAAGCGCTTCACCATCTCTAATATCACCTCAGTGGGAATGGGCTCAGACCTGCTCTGGTTTCTGCTGATGCATGACTCCAAACCCCAGTGAATCTGCAAAGACAACTGACTGAGTAATTCAACCAAAGGGGCAACTATTTAAACTGCATAACGGTAGTTTTGCACGTTTGAGAAAATAATAAATGATTTATTTTCCCAGTCATCCAGGCAGCCGCCAGCAGCAGCAACACTAACACAAATTTACTTGAAGTCTTGAGACTTTCTTGGAATCACTTATTCATCATAGTAAACATGTAGTTGCCTTTAAATGCTCCAAAATGATGGTCTTCTGTTGCAAGACAATGTTTTTAAAAACATTCCCTGGTGCATTCAGGTGCTTGCAGAAAGCTCCTGGATTCAAGGATTTTGATAAGTTTGAAGCATGAAATCAATATATAAGCTCAGTGTCCTTTAAAAATTTTAAATAGATATCTAAAATATACAAGGATTGTAATGTATGGGCTAAAACTTGCAAAACTACCAGCATAGTCTTTCGTAAACATTCAGTGGTTTAACCTTTACACAGAAAACAGAGGCTCACACTTTCTTGCAAGTTGGTACACTTCATATCTCATGCTTGGATAGTAGAAGTTGTCATCCAGTAGAAAGAGAAGTGGAGTCCGGTCAGCACAAGAGTGGTCCAAACCTTCAGGCTGCAGCAGAGTGTGAATGCATTGTTCCCACGCAGCCCTGTTGATCTGACATTTGCTTGGCAGCTCGGCCAACACTTCAGGTTTCTTCATGAACTGCTCAATGCACTGCAGCACAGCGTGTCTGTGTAACTTCCATTCAGTGTGCTGGGGGGGTGGGGGGACGACAATGAGGACAATGACTTGCAATATCTTTGATACTTATAGGGAATATGTGTGACCTTAGTAATTATTTGGTCTATGATTAGTAAGAAATAATAATAACAACAATAATAACAATAACTATAAACATATATATATATATAATAACACTGAAAAATAGCAATCACAAGTTATGGCAATTTCTATTTAAAAACTTGTTTTTGATTAATGGAGTAATTGTTTCAGTTCTATCTAAATGTACTTTTACTCTTGCCAGTATAATTTAATACAGCACTTCTATGTGTACCACTAAAATATTCCTATGATATTGATACAAAATTTAGATCATTACTGCAATATCTGTATTTTTAATTTAGTTTCGCATGTAACATTAGTGTTACAGTAAAAGTCCAGTCCTCCTTTTGGATTCAGTGGGGCTGGCATTATTAGATTAGGGACGGACTCCGTCGCATCTATTTGGATGCTGAACTCGCAGTAAAAATCTTCCAATTTAGCTCAGTTGTCTTTACCACATCTTGCAGTGCGACTCCGTCCTCCACAGCTCTGGTCTGAAAAGCATGCTCCGGGATCAGGTCATCGTACGGCACAACAGTGGCTCTCCATCCGTGCTGTGCAGCGGCGCTGAGCACCGTGCGGGCCAGAGTGGACTTCCCTGTGGCAGGTAGCCCGCAGAGGACACACAGACAAGCCGGGGCCCGACCGACACCCGCCTTCTCTTCTGCTGCCATGGCTACCAGGGAGCCAGTTTAAGCCTCAGATTTTTACATAGTATTGCAGCCATAGAAAGTTACAGATAGCAGTTAACTTCCGCTGTCGAAACATAAGGAAACACGTGACTTCAGCCCACAATCCTTTCAGAATAAAAGCCCACAAAATAAAGCAAAAGAAGGGAGACTGACTGGAGAGGCGGGGAAATACGGAAGCGCTTTGATATGGAGGTAGCAAAAGGTTAGATTCAATTGTACAAACTAATAAACAAACAAATCAATGAATGAATGAATAAATAAAACACCAATTAATTATTTAAGACTTGCACTTGAACCATCTGCTGGCTCCTTGGCACCATCTCTAACAGAGAAGTTATGTGGAGAAATGATTGTCAGATGTATAAGCCCTGGCAATAAAATGACATCGTGATGCAATGACTTAAAGCGTTATGAATCTTTATTGAAAAAATCCTCTTACTACAGAGCCCCCAAATCATTGGCTGTAATATCTCACATACTACTCAGCTGCCTATTTTAGTGCCATTCAAATGGTGTCCTCCACCTCTGCCGCTGTCATATTTTTAAAATATTTTCTGACTGGCTTTATTTATGGAAGGGGAGCTTTCCAATTGTACTACATTAGTATTAGCAGCAAAATGTAGATAAAGTAGTAAAGTAGTCCCTCTCACTGATATATTATCATTGCCTTTACTAAAGGCCCTACAGGACATCACTAGATTATTAATACTGAAACATCATTGTGTAAGCAGCATAGTTTAAGTTTGTGCCTCATGTATTATCATTACATTACAAAGTGACACAAACTAGGGCTAACATCTACAGTAAAACTTCCAAGAAACTCACACTCCTACAGTAAAAATAGAAAAACAAATATTGCCTGATACATGTTTTTTATTACAATCAAAATCCATGATCTCAAAATTCACAAAATCATTAAAATACTTTGGGGGGGGAAAAACATAATACAAAAGATTGTTTTTTGTTACATTTTGTGTGCACATATTTGCAATGACTCGAATAAAACATATATATACCACTAAATATTTACACATTAACCAAGACCACGTTACTACAGCCAACCTTATAAAGGTGCTGGCAACAGGTTTCAGTGAGTCTATTATAATCACAGTGTTTAAAATTGTCTCTTCATACGGTGTAAAGCTGTACTAAACTCCATACATTCATATATTTGGTATAAAAAGAAAATCAATGCGGTGGCTACTTGGGAGGGATAGGTCTGGGCACTCCGGGGCCCTGCCTAGGAGCCGGTGGTCGTGCAGGGGCAGCGCTTGTTTCTGCATTCCAGTAATCCAATTCTCCATACCTGAAACTGACAGGTTAAGTGAAAATTCAGGTCAACCAGTCATACAGGTCAGCTTGTAAGATCAAAGTTCTTACCCGTCTGTATGTGTGAGGACAATAGGGATTGAGTGAAATTAAGAAAGTTAAATCAGTACATACCCAGAAATTGGAGCTGCGGTAGCTGGCAGATTTCCAGGCTAGAATTAAGAAAGAAAATAACAACCTATTATTAGTCAGCTTTTAAAGATATACTGATTATTGATCTACTGCTTTTGTGTGATGGCATTTTCAGGTAATGAAAACCTGATTTTCCAGCTGCAGAATAAATATTGCACTGCCTTCCCTGCAGTAATGACTAAAAGTAAACAAAAATACTTGCCCTATCAGGTGGAGTCTGTGCTGGAGGCTGGGTCGTGGTACTTGTACGAACATGTGTGTTTGGCTGTCCATTTGGAGTTCCATTCTGAGCATTACCTGGCCTACAATAAGAAAACCTTAAAAAAAACATTGCAAAGACATTGCAACTGCAGACTTTATAATATGTATCAAAATATTTCCCAATGTGACTTGATGCTTACTTCCTCCTTCTTTTCAGGCAGAGGTTCAGGGTATCTCTCCTAAAGGTGTAGAGCAGCACCAGAATGAGAAGGACCAGAACAGGAACCACCAACAGGAAGAAGATCAACAGGCCGTTCCTGACGGAGTAGTCTGAGGTTGCCAAGGCCAGATGTGAATAAGGAACAGTAGCATTAGTTACACTTAGCGGTCAGTAGGTATTCCTGGCAGATTCCCTACAGTTATATCAATGATAGGCTGACTTTACAGTGATGGTTTTTTTTTTTTTTTTACATTTTCAAACACACACGACAATACAAGACATCATGACAAAAATAATATGCATGACAATTTAGATTTATATATCACTAATGGTAGAACAACTGCTAAATTGTATGTAAGACGATTAATTGCTAATGTGGTTCCTGATCCACCACTATTATTAAAATTATTTAAGGCCAAAACACATTGACATCTGGGTGCTTCAAGAGCAGATGTAGCAAGGGACCATTGCTACCACGCTCGGGTCAGCAGCAAATGATTAATATATGAGTAATATGAAGCCTTGATATAGGCCACACAATCTTACATTAGATTACAGTGTCGCAGTAACAACTTCATTTGTCTTGAAAAGTAAATTGATAGAATCAATTAAAACACACCTATCTGAGCCGGACCACTGTTTATGCTGCCACCACGCCCTGACCTGGCACACTGGGGTGGGCCCCACCCGTTTTCACAGTGGCAGTTCCCTTGGTCATTACATACCTGAAGGAATAAAAAAAAAAAAACAGCAAAGTCAGACTTTTTATTAGTGGCTGGTAACTGAGTAAAGAAAGTAAGGAAAATGTCTTTTTAAAAAAAAAAAAAGTTTTACCCCTCGGCCATTGCAGGTGGTCTGGGCATCACAGACCAACTTGGGCAACAGAGCAGTGGCGTTTACACACTTAAAGTCAAGGCAGGCCTGAAAAAGAATTAAAATGAAAATGATGCGTCACTATGCGTCCACATCCACTTTCACATTGGCAGAACCTTACTGGAACAAATCAAGTCACATAATTTCATGAATACATTCCTTCTCTCTGACGTGTACAGTTCTTAAAAAAGTTCAGTCTTCAATGTCAGCTCACCTTTCCTGTACCACAAGGGCTGCCAGTGTTAACGTAGGCAGGATCTAGCACATCTGTGCCGAGGTTGAAGTCTGCATTAACACATCTTGACCCTTCAACTATTTGGATGCTGACATGGGCACCAGGAGGGGGGTTGTTGACGTCCACGTTAGTACACTGCACCTTTCCACACATGGCGTCTCTGCAGCGGAGGTTCAAGAGAAAAACGTTCATTGCCCACTGCTGTTAATGAGCTAAATGCTGAAGAAATAATAATAATAAAAAAAAAGCTAAACTATCCTTCACCTCCTTCACCTGACAAAATAAAGTTGCATCACATCATTTTGCTTAAAATAACCATCCTAAGTACATGGCAACAGTGGTGAAAGACAGTACAGTCGTATCCACGCGGGTCCACTCAGCCCAACTCTGTTGAGAGGATGGAGGATTTGATATTTGGCCAGATGAGTAACTGAAAAATCTTAAATGTTCCCCACATAATTTCAACAGGTGGGCTCTGTGTTGATGTGTCTTGCAATAAATGAGTTAGGAGTTTTATCACTGTGAACTTGATCCTAACTGTAACATGACTGCAGTTACACGCTTTTTATAGATCTACCAGTACTTACGCTACAGGACATTTGATGAAATCTACTTTGCTGGTGATGCCACAGTTTCCAAATAAGTTTCCCTGAGTGTTTGCATGCTGGAAACAAACATCTGCTGCCTTTGTCGCTTCATCTGCCCAAGAGAGAAATAATAGCCAACATAAAATATTAATGATGAGAGACGTGAATTAATATGTTGCCAGGTGATCGCTGTCTCCTGATAGACACATAATGTGGATTAACCACATCAGCCCTTATTTGAATGTACCTGGTGCAAAGAGATGTTTGCACTGGAAATCATACGTCTGGCATCTGCCCTCAAAGCAGTATGCGGCATTGTTTTGGCATGGCAGGCCGTCCATGACGTAGAAGTCGTCGGGACAGAACCCGCTATTTCCATCACAGTATTCAGGGAGATCACAGGCGTTGACAGACTCTCTGCACGGCGTTCCAGACACTCTGATCTAAAACAAAAGAGCATCACATACAAAAACAGAAAAAATGTATATTTTAAGTGCGAAGAATGCAGAATTTATTGCCTTTATTCAGTGCAGTTCTAAGCTACATAACCCCAGTCGCGAGTCCAGTACAATGCTGACCTGACAGTCTTCACAGCAGCTCCCCTGAGCGCAGGCGGCCCCGCGTGTAAACTTGCAGGTTGCAGCATCACAGCATCTGTTATTGCATTCCTATATGAAATGGAAACAGTGTAAAACTATGCGTATCACCACACTACAAAGACATAAAAAAGTACAAGAATTTAACAACGCCAGAATATTTTTTTATTCTAAGATCCTTGAGGTTGTAGCATGGCATTCATTCACTACACGTCTAAATTGAGAGTAAATTACAAAGACAACCCCTAGATTGTGTAGTGGAAAAATTTAGTGTGATTGTATTTGTAACCTGCCTTCTTATTGTAATTGGAAAATGTAATTCATCATACGTGTGCTCTTAGTGTAACCTCTTTGTAGTTGATAAACTGTCTCGATCTCAGGTGAACTGTGGTAGTTCTTTATCTGCATAACTTCCTCGTACATCAGGTTTTGACCCTGCCTGTGCAGCCTAAAATCACCAACTGTAGGCCAGGGGTGGAGACTCCCACATTCTCTTTCTTTTTTTTTTTTTTGCAATAGTATAAAAGACTGGATTGTTCTCATTTTGGGGTTCTCACATTATGGGGACCTTTGATCTCTCTATACGTGTTGAGCCCATTTGCAGACGCTGTTTTCAATAAAACCCACAAAGACAGGCGTGACTCTTGATTCTTAATTCAGATTTCCACAAAAATCGTTTCTGTCTGTGTAAATATCTGGTATACATTCATATTTACTGGTTGTCAGATCTAATATACCTGCATAAAAACACTTTATTCCCATTTTAAAAACAGAGTGAAAACTACCAGAACACAACACGAAACAACATTAAGTGCTCAGTGCAGGAGTTTATCAGTTAGGCAGTACTCTACCTCTGGTTTGCCACAGTCACACTGCTCTCCTTGGTCCAGCCGGCCATTGCCGCATTCGGCAGAACCAACCACATCTGACGGGGAGGGCTGGTTTTTCAGACACACGCCTCCTCCACGGAGGATCAGAGTCTCAAAGTCTGTTGCACTGCAGCTGCTGAAAGTGGTGGAACCACTACAGGGTGACAAGATAAGCTATTAATGGAAATGTCTATTTGGACAGGCCTCACGTTACTAAACAATCTTTGACAAGATCATATGTTTGCTTCCTGAATGAATGGACTGAGTGTTCATTCATTGAGGAAATAACTGTAGAGAGTAAAGTAAAAGAGGCTACGTTATACAGAAACACACTACACTTGACACGTTAAATCCTGTAAAATCCAAGGGCCGATGCTCAGTAATACACTAAGTACACATGGACATTTTTCTTTTATTTTGAGGGAGAAAAAGCTTACTTATGACAGTATGGGTGTTGTAAAAGGCACAGAATATAATATGTACTATGTACTGTGGGATTTTAACCACTGCTTTTTTTCAATTTCATGTCAAGGAGTTAAGAAATATTTTATGGAAGATGTTTTACCTAGCACTGGCTGCCATGATGCAGGCTTCTCCACTACATTTGCAGCGGGTGTTGTCGTGATTCATACCCAGGTTATGTCCCATCTCGTGCGCCACAACAGTGGAGACGTAAGGCAGGTTGTTGTTACTGAACTGTGAAAACACACTCAGTAAGATACAAAGTACATTCAGTGCTAATATTCTCCTTAGTTTATATACCTTAATATACTGGATTATCCTAAATGGGAAATTCAAGTAAAAAAAAACAAACAAGAAAAACACTTCCTTTAGTTAACTTTTTACTTTTTAGTCACAGTGAAAGACGGTATTTTGCTTGATTGATTTCATTTATCTCCTGTTGAATCGGAATGTTGGAGGAAGAGGTTGGGTATGAAAGGGTCGTTCACTGATGGGAAAAGATGGGCAGCAATTCAACTATGTAGGGTGTGGTTTTTTTTAGTTGATCAGGAAGTTATTTTTCCTTCTGGTATGACTTCAAATCAAGAACAACATGAGGCATCACGAGACAAAAGAATAAGGAATCCAATAAGACAATAAAAGATGCCTAGTCATGGAGCTTAAAAAGACTATGGTAAGTCTAACCTGTTTGAAAACAAGCTGCACTTATACAAGTGTCCATGAATAATGCAGATAGTATCAGGTTCTACACTAAGGCTCATGCTGCCGAGGCACCACGGTGTCAGCTGGTGTTAGAAGTTAAAAGGGAGTTGAACTAACCACGTTGATTCCTCCAGCTGTCGCTACGGAGCAGACGGTGCCCACGAAGGCCATACCTAATACACCTCCATTGTATGGGTTCGGTTGACCACTGAGAAACAAGTGGACCAAGAGATAAGTCACGCAGTTGACTTGTATCAAACAATGTCATGTGATGGCATCATATTATTTAAAGAAAAAGGACAAAGTCCAGGCATTACTTACACAAGGAGTTGACCAATGTCATGCCTGATCTTTGGTATCAGAGTCGTCTTCCTCCACTGAACAAACCTCCCCAACACGTCTCCTGCAGAGCCATCCACATCAAATGGATTACCGTCCTTAAAAATCTCCAGGCCCACCAACACGACACGGATATTCAGTTGTTTGTAATACTAGAGTAGAACAGAAAATAAAAGCGGACTATTTAAGACCATAACACAGCTCTAGCACAGAAACAACATTACCATTAATGGAAATTTAGCATCGTTTCTTTTACAAACAACTTAAAATCTCACCGCGTCCAGCAGGTTAGCCATTTCCACCAACTCTTCTCGTACCGCCGTCTCATTTCTTTCCTTAAATTCATACTGCAAATACAATTAACACAATAATAAAAAAATATTTTTGACAATATAGTCTGCAGCACAGGAAAAGCACTGCAATATTTGTGTTGGAAAAACACATTCCTTGCTGACTAATGGCACCTTTGGTAAATATGCTCATTCACTTGCCTCTAGGGTGAAACAGCAAACAATTCATTCTCGTTTACACAATAGTCAATTCATAAACACATAAACACACCCACCCTGAGATGATCGGCAACCAGCACCAACTCCACATAGCTAGTTTGTGGCAAATTGCGCTTCCTCTGTTAAAATAGGAAACAGAATAAGGACAAGCAGACACTTCAAAGCCTCAGCCACTATGCAAAATAATCACACTGAATATAATATGAGTTAAAGTGAATATAGTGAGCATCCTAACCCGCAGCAGTGAAGTCAGCGAGTGGCCAGGTTCAAAGGGTTCGTGGCTTTGTGTTGATTCAGCCTCACCGACGACCCCACAGGTGACAGGCTCAGACTGAATGTCCTTCATTACATACAGAAGATGCTCATTGGTGGCGGACTCTGGCATAGGCTCAAGTCCATAGGTCTCATTTCCAAAGATGATCACTCCCCTATGGAGAAGTAGCGCACAGCAGACATAACTTTAGATGAATACTTTTAATCTACGCCACGTCATGACGTTACCTAACATAATGTACATGACAGATTGCTTTGATAAAGTTTGACCGGTAACTAAGAACCTTTGAACCAATAGTAATAAATGGGAAAAAATGGTCAGGTCCATCTTTAGTTTGATGTGTGGCTCTGCTTTAGCCCCAGTAATATGGTTCAAATCAGTATCACATCTTATTAAGAGGATTTCCCAATATTGATACACCAGTAAAGATAATAAACTGTGTTATACGTTATATCAATTTATTCAAGTTCAACTTATTAACTTTATTAACTTCAATAAAGTGATTTTGTTGCCCTCAAGCATTCATTTCACAACAAAATATTATGAAATAATAACTCAACACAATCAGTTACTGTAAGTGTTGTCATAGATTCAGGGCCAAGCTCTAGCTCCATTCATTACTCACAGAAGGCACTAAAAACAGGAACATAGATAATCAAACCTGAGGCCAGAGCATGTGCTGAGCGCTACCACTGAATTCTCATATCCCTCCACCTCTCCGTGGAAATAGCAGTGCCTCTGAGAAAGAGGAAATAAAATCAGGTTAAAGGTTGATGTTATAGTAGCCTTATAAACCAGAATGCGCAACTGTCGACTTACATGTCTTATGAATGACGAACTGTGGTTACCAGCGGTGTCATGTGAATACTGATCAAAGTTTGGGTGTAAAAAGTCTCTGACAAAGAGAGAAAAGAATATGTCCAACATTTGATCTGAAACACAAACAGGGACTTACAATAATGTCAGTATGAATGAACTGTGCCTACTTGTTAGCTTTTAGATGAAGGAGGTGCTTTCTGTTGTTTATGTTGAGTGCATATGATATTGTCTCCTCTCCATACTTCTGAAATGGGTTAAAAGAAAGCATTATTAAATGTTCTCATACTGTAATATCAGTTAAAAAGATTATTTAATCAGGGTTGTACACCAACCTCTTTTGACTGTGGCGGTCTGTTGACAGTCCTTGTTCTTCTGTGAATCACCTGAGGATTTACAATGGAGTACTTGGAAAGTTTTGATGTAAGCCCATTGAAAGAAAGGTCTGGAAGAAAGGTAAATACACAATGAAACTGTAAATACTGGGAAAATAACAGTTAACGCATGTATTTCTTCTCAGGACACAGGCATTAACAAAAGGAAAACGTATTGAGAAATATTTAACCCTCTTGTTACTTTATCCTTGGTTTATAATTGCACAGTTTTAAAATAACAAAAACAGACAAAGCGGATCATAAAAATTCATCCGTTCGTGTAAAAAAAAAAAAGCCGAGTTTTTCTCTGCTCCCTCGAAGCACAACACAACATGCAACCCAAATCAAATGTGCCTCACCTTTGTTGTAAATCCCAGAAATGTAACAAAGGAAAAATACGGCGAAAATGATGTGTTTTCTGACCATGATCCCGGTTAGTAAGTTAGTAAGTATTTAGTGTGTTCCTCTTAGACCGACGGTATGTCTGCTAATGACTCGGACGCTTGTGTTTTTGCTTCCTAGTGGTCAGGTGCATCTTTGTGATGGGTGTAGCCAAAGACAGGTAAGCTACCAAGCAGGAGGCCAAGTAAAACAAACAAAATGCAAAGGTGGATTGAAAAGACAGCAAATATTTGCGAGAGGGTTTACCAGACAGTTATATTATAATTTAGAATATTATTACCACTGGTTAAACAATACTTGCTTTACTACTAACAGTCACAAGAAGGTGGGTTTCTGCCATTTGTCACTTCTCCGTTTTTCATAGCATTTAGCATTGTTAATAGACACGGTAAGTATATAATGCAAAATGTAAGCAGTATGTAGCCTACTACAGCAAAACTGGTGTGATAAACGGAGAAGAACTTTGGAGATTTTTTTTTTTGAAGAGCTTTGGAGATATCGCGTTATTTTAGTAGTTGTTACGTCACTCGCGCCCCGGAAGTGTTTTGACGTTGAGCAGCGCCACCATTGAATTTTAGCAAACAGTAAAAAGTACAGTTGTGCTTTTAACATAGACCAAAGACAAACAAACTTTCCTGTGGTGTACTTTGAAGCTGTTTTTAATAGAAAGCTGTCACTCTACCCAGTACCTGCTCAAGTGCTATTCTGAACCAGGTTGTTTTTCGGTTGTTTTAACAACCCGGTGTAGTTCAGATCTAGTTAGCATGTAAGCTAATAAGCTATGGTTGGTTATCAGTCGTCTAAAGTCAGCATTTTCCTACATCATTAGCTGACGTTACTAAGTCTATTTGCATTTAGCAACTCATCAAATTTCTTCCCTGACTAAAGCACCGAAATGGGATTCCTTTAAAATAAATAGTATCATGTATGGCTGCATATCGTATTTTAAGATTTGCTCAATTATTGAAGAGGGGACTGCCCAAGAGACAAGTCTGGACAAAAACTTCACTGTTGGTGTCAGCTCAAATTGTATTGTGAGTATACATGTAGTGTCTTTTAATTTTTAAACTGCCAAGACGCTGCTCTGTCTCAAAATACTATGGATTGTGTTGCTTTCTCCTTTTATTCAGAATGACTGAACTGACAGACTTTGAACCTTTAGCAAAGAGATTCAGGGTTGGTAACCGTGCCCCAACCTCCCCTTCATCTTCTCTCCAAGGTAATTTGGTAATAATCAGACAATTGTCAGATTATGCGTCAAAAGTTATCAGCTTTATTTCATTATCTCTCTCTTTTGTAAAACAGTTTTTTTCTCTTATTCTCCAGGCCCATCTTCATGTAGTAAGCGCAGAGATAATGATACAGTCAATGAAGAAAAGGGGCAAAACAACACAGAGATGAAGATGGATATACAGCCAAAGACTGGAGCAGGTGGTTTACGACGTGTGAAGACAAACGTTTCCCATCAAAAAATCAGCCCCAGACAGCAGCAGAAGTTAAGAAATACTCTTGACCAATGGTTAGTTAAGCCCAGAAAGAACCCAAATACAGATGAAGTGTGCCAAACCCAAGATGAGGCAGAAACTGCAGATGACAGTGCCTTTCAAAGCACCTCAGCTCATTCTCTGGACTTCCAAAATGCTGAAAAACCTACAGTCTCTGACATGGATGAAGAAACACAACCCTTGACACCACAAGACCTGGAAGAAGACAATCCGGTGTCTCCATCTTCCAAGGATTCTGCAGGGAGTGGGTTTATGCTGACACTGTCCAGCAATGATGGTGGATTAGAAAAAGAAGAAATGGAAACATGCGCAGCAAACTCAGAGGGCTCTGTCAAGCACAGTACCAAAATAACAGATTTCTTTTCAGGGACCTCATCACCACGTCTACCTGTGAGACGGGTCAGGCCAGATAAGCCTCCAGAGAAACAAGATGCAGACACAGACACGGAGAGTCCATCTGCTGATGTCAAATGGCTGGGGACGCCAATCAGTGAGCTTAAGAGAATGCCTGAATGCGGCGGACGGCTTCCTCCGCTAAAGGATGTTCCTGGCCAGCACACTGTGATGATAAGGGTTTGAGCAGTTCTTTCTTTTTTTTTATAGGATGCACAGCCCTACAGGTGGTTACATCAGAGAAACACACAGTAATTCCAGTGGCCTCCACAATGTTTTTGCAGGTTTCTGCAAAGAGTAGTGGTAGTTTCTGCCTATTTTATGGTAAATGATGCTCCAGTCACCAATTCATAATTTTGTATAGATTAAGTGGCTGCAGGAATATTATATTAGTATGTTAAGTGTAGTTTAAGCCAGACTTTGTAATGGCTGGCTAAAGTCTTTTAAAAAGTTACATATTTAAGGTTACTGTATGTAGTGGGAATCTGAAATAAGAATCAAGAAACAAAGTTGTCTTTAAAGTTTATTAAAACCTTTGCAAAGGGACCGCTGCTGCACAGAAACAGAAGGAGGGATATTTTCACACTAGAGTGCTCTTATACTCTCTGACCGTGCCCTGCTAAAAAAGTATCAGAGTAACAGCTAGGCAGCGTCAGATGTTGGGAAACAGCATCTCCCGCTGTTTCCCAAGGAAACCATTTATCAAAATTAAAACCAGATCCAAAATGGAATTGGGTAATGAAACCCAACCTCAAACATCAAAATGAGAAATTCTATCACAGAGGACCAGAACTTGAAAAACTGCATCATGGAATAATTTGCAAAAAACTGAAGTGTTAACATACAGCAACATCTTTAAGTTTCTCGCAAATGTATATTTTATTGTCAGTACAACTATTTGGTTTGCATACAAATATTACATGTATTAATGCTATTTTTCTAATCCACTCCCATTGACAGACAGACCTTCTTCAGAATGGTAAAGTTCCTGTTCCATATCCTACTAAGTTTAAAGATACCTGGGACAATGTCCATGTCAAGATGCCCTGTTCTGGTAGTAACCTGTTTCCTGTAGAAGATGAGGTAATAGTTCAAGTGTTTATAGACCTGTCAGTATAAAAACAGTTGTAGTCATGGATTATGTTTATAAAGACACACAAATGGCATATTCAAATCTTTAAAAGCGTTTTAAGACTACTTTGAATTCACAGATTGTACACCATAGGTTCAATATGGGTCATGTAAACAGTGTAATCACGTTATAAGACCCAACTAAAGGCATATTCAGTCTATTGTTGCTACCAATGGGCTGATAGGATAACCACCATGATATTTAACTGTATTGAGTTGTTTGAAAATGTTAAAATATCACTTTAGGTAATTCTGTCAAGAGATTCTCCAGGTTATGGTGCTTATCCATCCAGACTGAGGTTATAATTTTTCACAGCAGCTGTTCATGCTTCTTCTCTCAGTTACAAATGTTGAAATGATCACTGACAACATTATTATTCTTTGCAATTTTAAAGCTGAACTGAATTCCCCCTGCAGAGAACTAACAACAGTTGTGCTTCAACAGGAAACACATGAAATGCAGAATAAGAGTCGATGGGAGCTGATCAAGGAAACTTTAAACAAGAAATTTACAAGTCCACTTGAGTTGAAGGCAAGTTTCATATGTGTTATTTTATTGGCAAGTCCTAATTTATTCCTTGTCATGTGTGCTATAGTTGTTGTTACCAGATTATGCCACAAGATGGCACCATGAGCTTAGAAAACTGACAGACTCATTAAGGTCTTTCAGAATTTGTTTTAACACACATGCATCCTCATTCTGACTTAAAATGTTGATTCACACTCATTTTTAAATGCTGAATTTGTTTCTTACAGAATGCAGTATTGAAATACAGTGCCTCACATGCCCAGAAGTGGGATTTCACAGCATTACATTTGTACTGCACTAAGGTAAAACAATAAATATCTGCTATGATAACTGATTGTTTTATGAATTTCACTGAACCAGGACGTGAATGAAGTTTCTGTTGGTCTTAAAAAAAAAAAAAAAAACATTGTTGGAAGAGTCATTGAATTAATGCTGGCATGCAGACATGGGAACACAGATGGAAGCGCATGTTAAAGATGTGAGAGGATTAACTGTAGACTAATGAAACATCAACTGTCCAATCATGACACTTAACTGCCCAGCAGAAGGCATCGTAAACCAGCGTTGCTGCTTCTCACAGACCTCGGGTTAAAGAAGGTGCAGATGGCTCATTAGTTGGTGATCTTCAGTTTGTGAGAGGCGCAGGGATGCGAATGTCTCATTTAACACCAGATTAGATTTAGCTTAATATAAACAGTATTTAAGTGTCATTGTGAATCAGTATCAATAGATGGGCCTAATATCTTCATAGCACCATGTACACAAAAAGGTCACAACAACTATTCAGACGTTTTGTCACAGTGCTTCAAAACCCAGTCTTGAATTCGAACAGTACATACAGTGTGATGAGCCTGTCATGTGGAATGCGTGAGAGTCAAAAAATGCTTATTTTTATAGTAAATTCTTTGTGTGAGTAAAGTTTGAACATATTTTGTCGAAAATGTTTGCTCTGTATTGTTCCGTGGCTTTCTCAAGCATTGTGTGTGCACGCACGTTAATTTGTACATAATTTATCTTTTTGTGCTATCTGGACATCTGGCTGTTTTGAGTTCTGAGGCTCAGATTATGAGGTTGTATTTTTAGGTGTGATTTGCTTGTTTTTTTTTTTGTTTTGTTTTTTTTTTACTGTCCTCAGCTAAGTCATTTTCTTTACAGGCTAAGAGGAAAATAGGCCTGAGTTGCATCATGATGGCCAGAGCACTGTTAGTTCACTGGTCATTGCTCAGATTTGTCAGTGTCTTCTCCAGCCTCTTTTGGAGGCCATCCATCATCTGTTGTCTTGACGCACTCTGCGTCATCCTGTGTAGAGAATCAGGGAGGGCTGAACTCTTGTCTGGCTCATGAAGGGGATGGGAATATTCCATTTGAAGCGATGGGACGTGTTGTGACATGAGTGTTTCATATAAGAAATCCTGAGCCTATAAGACTAGACAAATAATAGGCTTTATTTTTCTCATAGTAAGGGAGTGCTCATCCACTCTGTGGTTGATGGCATCATCTAGACTACATCAGCCACAGGTTTTATGATTTCTTACATTTCAGGTAAAAAAGTACATGCAACGCCAGTATGTCAGATGTGTTTCTGTCATTTTTGCACAAGAACATTAATGGATTTCGCACAGGAGAATGTTGCAGTCCTTCAGAGGTAAAGTGGGAGTCTAGAGAAATAATTTAATCTTTTGCCAAAAGGTCACATTTAGTAACTTGTCAGAAATGAAAATGGCTGGCATTATATCCCAGAGAGTGCTTTACTCCAGCCGTATGTTGTTGAACCAATTGTGTGCCGTATGTATGCCATAAATCATATTACAATGGGAGTTTTATGAGATAAAATCTGAACATGTTAAGAGGCTCTACCCACAGGCCAAGTTTTGTCGTCAAAGCTGTATTTGGATTGTGTCAGGTCCACTGGAATGGCAAAATTAGATTTTTGTCAGACTGCAAAATGTCAAGTACCATTAAACATATTGAAGTAGTTGGATTTCAAGTGAGGTGCCAATAAATTGTGGCTGATAACATTAAACTTTTGATTGTTTTGTTGATTGAAATGAATGTGTTGGTATCAGCGATGATTAAGGAAATAATGTAAAACTAACTTTTTAGAGCCACCTGTATGTAATTGTAGCTCACACAAAATACATTTGCTTTATTTATACTGTGTATTATTGCAAAGTTGGTACGCAGTTCCTTTTAACCAAGGCTGTTTATTGCTTCTTTCCCTTTCAGAATTTATTCACAGCTTGAGTAATGAATCTATGTTTTAATAGTCTAAAATGCTGAAGAGGCAGTAGCAATCATGCTACATGTATAGTATTTGTAATGTAGTGACGGAACTGGGCTCATATAGCCCACAGAATATAGTGTTGATGTGTAACACATTTAATTTGAAAAGCCAATTACACAGGATTGTACACGGGACCGGCAAACAGTACAATGTAAAGTATCCCATTTTTCACTATGTTACTTTACCCTGGAGAAGCCAGTGTGGAGACTCTGTAGCAGGACGGTTTTGAGTGTCAGAGAAAAGTAGACATGAATGGCATAGAATGACGGGCTGGGCAACTTCATTGAATATTCATCTCAGCGATCACATCTTATGAATAACTGAAAAGCTGTTGATGGACAGCATCACTTTTGTTCATGTCTCTTTCTGTAGCCCAGCCAGCGCTGTATTTACGGTTATGAGCACGCAAGTGTTTTATTTTTACATGGTCACACGTCCACAGACGCAGTCAAGCAGATTGCTTTATTGCTCGTACCTGCGGGGAATAGGAACAGGAGCGTGAGGCGCTGTGTTAAATCTACATGGGAGCTTTGGTTTCTCACTGCCCACACCCTGACATCTTGCTTGATTACTTTGTCAGTTTGGTGTGATGTACAGACCTGTATCAAGTCATACAGAGAGTTAGTTCCGTTGATTTGATGCACTGTCTTCTGCTGATTTAAAGAGCTCGGCTTATACTGCCTCAGCTATATCCGCCGTCTTTCTGTCAACTGCCTTCATTTATTACGCCCATAGGAGCAGTTTATGATGTCAACCAGGTCATTACTTATGACAGTGTTTAGTCAGGCTTCCTTTGCCATAATATAAATGTTCTAGGCTAAATCACCAGTCAAGGCTCCTTGTCCTGGGAACACACTGTCCTTTCTATTTCAAATGCTCGGTCATTTGCATCTATTCCAGGAAGACTGTTTAATCAGTTGGCGTGGTCCTGCAGCCTTGATGAAATTGCTTTGTGATTGATCATTCTGACATTTTGTAGCCAATATGGGTGTAAATACAGGTAGTATGGTACATTGTCTAAGATATGTTAGTGCACTTAGGCAGTGTTGTGGAGTCATGGATGGTGGGTATATTACTTGAATATTTGGTTCTGGTGATATTATTATGGATGAACTGTCCAACTAAAGCCAGATGTATTTTAATAATATGAAGCCATATCTTTCATTTAATCTTTTAAAGGTCCAATATGGGATAATAGTCATATACATGCACGGTATTATAATTTAATCATTTTTATAGAGGTGTATTGCCCTATGATGTTCTGTGTTGCTTATTTGTTATTAATCTCTGTTTCTCTGTAAAATTGCCCATAAAGTCTCAACATTTTGATATGGACCAGAGCTGGTAATGTGATCTGTCCGTCTCAAACTACTCAGCCCAAACAGCTAATAATGTCACAGCTGAGTTTTCTGGCAAAACAACAAACATAAACAGATCTCTTTCTCTCTCCAAGGTCCTGGAGCCTGATGCTGCCGAACATCTGTTTGGCTCCCTGTTGCCAGACATGGTGCAATTAGCACTGAGAGCATCTGAGCTCTGTACCAAGGTAACAGCCATCACTAACTATCGGACACTGAGTCACTGGTCTGTGACATAGTAGATCACCGCAGCAGGTTGATCCCAAAGGTCATGGCAGGACAAACAGGCTTGTGAAATAGTAGTAAAAATGGTGAGGTCAAGGCACATAGCTATTGATAGTCATTTATCAGATGTTTTATTGTCCGTTTGGTCATGTGTTTTTTTTGGCATGTAGATGTAGCTGCAAAAGTCTCTTTAAAAAGGTTTTTGTGTATTAATTTGGCCAAGCAGCAGCCACTCATCTCATTTTAATTTTATATCTGTGTGTTAAATTTAGTTTGATTAAGTGGCCCACAGAAGTGAAACATTTCCCAAGCAAACAAATTTGTGCTAAAATATTATTCAAGCGTACATGTGGCAAACTGTTGTAGACCATCAAAATGAAACCTCAGTCTACACATCTGTAACATGGAAACTTGTGTTCATTTTTTTGTAATTAGTTGTTATTCTCTAATAGAGAAAAATCTGTTTAAAATGGATATACAATTTTTTGTCTAGTCTCAAATAAATCTATTGAAAATGCCATTGATAAAAAACTGTTAAATAACTTGGTAATTTCACAGTTTTTAGTGGAGAACCTAAAGTGAGAAGTCGTCCAACATTTGTCCATGCATCTTGTAGCCCAACAGATACAGAACTGCTTATACTGATGCATTCTTTATGTATAAATCCATAACCTTCATTGGAAGTATGGATCACATGTGAGCACGAAAGGACCTTGATTGTAATTATGATGGCTGATTCAAGAAGAGCAGAGTGCTGCAAAATTATTGCATTTATGCAACGTACTTCAGTGTTTCATTTGGCAAATTGACAAAACAAATGATTTTGACCTTCCTCGGTTGTACTTCTGTTCCGTCCTTTAGCCGATACCCCTCCTCAAGAGGGGCACGAACCACTCCATCACTGTGTCTCAGGAGCAGGTGGCATGTCTGCTCGCCAACGCCTTCTTCTGCACCTTCCCGCGACGCAACTCTAGAAGGACTGAGTACTGCAACTATCCAGACATCAACTTCGTCAGGTAATGTAGGGATGTGCTTTGACTCATGATGCTTAAAGTTACACGATCATAAATGATACTGCTGTGACAACTAGCTTCATTTCCATGAGGGGGCACTACTGTATATGCTTTCCTCACTTACCATTTTAAGGCAAACAACATTTACATTGTACGTAGTTTTAATTACACATGAGCAAACACTATCTTTTAGCAAGAGTGTATTGATCAATGCAGTGCAGTGATCAATCTGACTTCCGTACACACCAATCTGAAAGATTTTACCTTCAGAAAATAGGCACTGATCCCATCAGTCACTGTTCATTGGGGCATTTTTAAAAGCCACTGAGCTTTTAAATTGTGTAGTTATATTATTAAGCACTGGGTAGACCTTTCCTTTGGCCTGCTCTACTCACCAGAACCAAATATTTCGGTTTATCTAATCACAACATTATTAACACACAGCTGGGCATTCTGTCTCAAAAAAATGATGTATGCTTTTGTACAGCTTAAGGAGATGAGGGCAAAATGATTCACTGATAATGTATGAATGACAAAAAGGGTACAGACAGTAAAGAAGACACTAAATAGGAGGTTTGCACGGGAGCCAACCATTGTTTCAAACCTCTGATCTTATTAATTCTGCTGATTAGGACACTGTCATTATTTCTTTCACTGTAACTCTAGTTCACAGGCAATTCTTTTTTATTTTTTTCAAAATTGTCGATTATGACAAACAGGATGGGATTTTTTTTTTTTTATCCGTGCAATTTTTCANATTGTTTCAAACCTCTGATCTTATTAATTCTGCTGATTAGGACACTGTCATTATTTCTTTCACTGTAACTCTAGTTCACAGGCAATTCTTTTTTATTTTTTTCAAAATTGTCGATTATGACAAACAGGATGGGATTTTTTTTTTTTTTTTTTTTTTTTATCCCTGCAAACTTTCACTGAGGCGATCGTCTGGGTCGCGTAATGCAAAATCAGTCTGCAGATCGCTTCTCAGTCATGTCCCCCATCTCTGTTGGCATCATAGTTCAATTACCTAAATGGAGGTGGGAATTGGATTAACATTGACTCAGATGGCTGCCTTTGACAATGGAGAAGGCCATTGGCTGTTTTTGCAGAAGACTGTAACACTAAGTTCAATTGCATCAGTATTTCATTCACATAAAGGTTTTGCTCTGATTTGAAAGGAAACCAAGTGTCATCATTTTAGCCTGTGGGTAACACTTTGGTAACACCAATTTGGTGTGAGGCAGATATTAAATGCTTTGAAATTTTCATTTATTTATTTCTTATTTAACAATCGTTCTTTGGGGTCCTCTATTTTTTTTTCTTCTTCTTCATTATCATTTCACAAGAGTGCTTGCAGGATAGGTAAAGGAAGTAAAAACAAAGCTTTTATCTGCAGATGTTCTTTTATCTCAGTGCAGATTTCTTATTTGCATTGAGATAATTGAGACTTTGTGGCAATTGAGACTTTTTTTTTGTACGTTTGCTCTGTCATTCAAAGTGTTCTTAAGCAAACTTATTATAAACTTATTTTACCATGAATTAGTATTAGCTAAGTTTTCTTTTGCTGATGATGCAGAAACCCAGCTGTTATACCTACTGTAGTCACTTATACCCTTTTCCTGAGTTACATCATAGTTTTCTGCACATCTGTGGGGAGTATAGTGATGTTATATAATTGTGTATTAATTCCTCACTCCCAGAAGACCCTTTTTGCGATTTGTTACTAAAAGCCTACTCTCACTAGTGGCTAGCTTATGTCAAAGGCAGTTTGCCCTGAGGACTACACAACGTATGATTGTTTCTAGGGGCCACATTGACAAAAAAGAGAAACGAATGCAGGAGTTGACTTCGATGAATGAGTTTCTCAGCCCCTGAAGGGCCCCCAGTGCATCAAGCTTTTATCATTATTTCATTTCACTCACATGAAATGATTTTCTTTTTTTGTGGCTCGTGAGGCGGGCGGTTGGGCTCTTTATAGATTTGCTCGAAAGGGAGACGGTGGGCTTAATGCTGAAAGTTCATTCAAACCCACCAACTGCACCGCACTACCAGCAGCTTTGTGTGCGCGCGTTTGTGTGTTACTTTTCAGGCGGACTGACCCTTTGCCTCCTGAGGATGTTGCTTAAAAGGGACACAGGGCTTCTTAATGTATCCCCAAGGAGGGAGCCCTGTTTCCCCTCTCTGTTCCTTTTTTTTATGTGAGTGCTGTGAAGTGGCACATGAGTGTGACTCTGTGATGGCAAGCCTGGGGCAACTCCATTGTCGTAACAGTGAAGGAGCTCCTACATAATCGGCTAGTGACTGAAAGAGAAGCTGAGTGAGAGATGAACTAATTCATATCAAAAGTTAAAGCATGACTGAACTCACATGGCTAAAGTGGAGGTCTTGTGTCTCTATGGCACTGGTTTTACAGAGACTCATTTTTCCAGGTCTTGGCTATAGCTTTTTGAGTCTAAGACTTGGTGGTTTGCTGTGATGCCATGCATAATTTGCTTGCTTAAAAACTATCTTTTCATTTTTATGAAAGGAGCATCATATATACAATTTCTCTTTGACTTCAGGCTGTTTGAGGGGTCCTCTTCAAAGAAGATTGAGAAGCTGAAAACCCTGATGTGCTATTTCAAAAATGTCACTGAGCAAAGTAGGTGTTCTGATTTCATTTTCATGAGTAATTTCATTTTTTCCAGTAATGCATTCTTATTGATGTAAAGTAAGACACGGCTGTGACATTGTTACTTCCTTTTTTTGCTTTTCAGAGCCTACTGGACTTCTAACATTCACACGAAAAAGTTTGGATAAACCCCTTAATTGGAAAAGGTGTAGTATATTGAACTAAAGAAGTAAAGGAAACATTATAATTACTAATAGAAATGGTAGTAGTATGTTGATTGTCTCTGCCAGTAGGATAAATCCAGTAGGCTGTTTGGAAGCAATTAAAGATCCATCGTTTGACCTATTGTCGATAACTGGAAAACAATTTATTCTTTGTTTCAGCTCACAGACTCCGCTCACAAAGCTCCACATTACTTGTGAAGGAACCATTGAGGATGATGGTTGTGGAATGCTTCAGGTAAGATGCAGAGGAGGAGAAATGTCCCAGGAGTGTTGACTCGTCGAAAGACAACACAATGGTGTGATTTAGAGGAACTTTAATTTGCAAAATAATAATTTTTTTGCTTGATGGAGTTTTTAGTTGGCGAGATACTCCTCCTCATGCTTGGTTCCCGTCCTCTTTTCCCCCCTGTTGTAGTCAGTCACTGAGCCACCTCATTCTGGAGTCTTTCACCCAGATTGCTTACCAGTGCTGAAAAGGCCTTTGAGGGAGCCTGTGACACGTCGGAGGGAATGTGTGCTGGGACTGGGGTCGAGGCCTCTGAGCCTCCTCTGCTCAAAGTGTCGGCCATGCTTCCTGTACACTGTCAGGATGGCCTGCTTTGCCTTTCACCTTTTGTTTGCCTCCAGTTGCCACAAGCTGACAGTTGATGTGCACACATGACCAGCTCCGGGGCACACTGCGGCCTGGATTGATGGATGCTCTGCTCTGGGTGGGTGGGGGGTGCTGACAGCCTGTCAAAGCAGACTTTGGAGTCTGGCTTGTTGTCCCAGAGTTGAGTGACCAGTTTGGGGAGATCTGCTCTCAGACTGCAGCTCACCCCTTTGCAGCCTCTTCCTGAGGTTGTGACGGGGTTGGTCTGGTCTCTTCTACAGGCCAGTGAGCAACAACTGTCAGTCCAGAAATTGGATTATATGTATGTTCCACGTGGCTGCCTTCTGACTAAAACAATGAGTTGCCACGTCTGTGTCTGAGCTGAAACGAAGAGATGCGTATTTTCTTTTGAATCATAAACAGACCAAAATAAAGAAGTACATCAGTGTCACCCAGAGATCTGTGCACAAAGCTGAAAGAACACAAGCAGCAAAAGATATCACAGGCATCAGTCAGCAGTCAATTTAGCAGCATGTTATGACTGGAGGGAGATGTTTGCTTTGGACTGTAGGCCTGCACTCTTGTTGTGATATTTGCTCCAGGAGCAGCACACTGAAGTGCTGCTCCTGGAGAGAGCTCATTTTGGCATGGGGGACAGAGGTCTGAGTAATGTGAGCACCTCAGGCCACCTTCCCAATCAGCTTGTCTGGGATTCTGTCACATGTAAAAGGAAAAGGGCTGACACCCTTTCATGGGGTGTTTTCCTCAAGTTTGGGAAGCTATATAATTCACAGTCAGAGAAAATGTTTAGTTCACTTCATCTAGATTATGTTGTCTGCTGTTTTGTTTCATAAGAATACATGCATGTGACAAAAGATCAAATATTTGAAAGTAACGTTTTATTGATTCTCATTCTTGATTTGCAGGTGGATTTTGCCAATCAGTTTGTGGGAGGAGGAGTCACCAGCTCTGGTCTGGTTCAAGAGGAAATCCGTTTTCTGATCAATCCTGAACTTATTGTTTCTCGCCTCTTCACTGAAGCCCTGGATCATAACGAATGTTTGATCATCACAGGTCAGTGATCAAAAATTCTCGCTCACTTTGTTAAACGATAATTTTTGCTGAAGGAGTCCTGTTCATCAATTATTCATGATTTATTCCGTTGATCCTGATAAGATCAATAATGCCCCGGGTTCACTTTTCTCATGCTTGACCTATAATTTGACAGAGGAAACGGTAAACGTTTCTGGTCACACACAGCATGTGTGACTGCACATTGCACACCTTCAATTTATTTACCCCATCCTGGCTCAGCAAGAGGCAAAAGGATGTTTGTGGCAATTACCCTGTTTTCTGTATCTGTCCTTGTCACATGTTTCCTTTTGATTGGCTGTAAAAGGGAGAGTTGCATCAGTCGGGAGCAGGAGATTGGGCTTTCCTGATTGCTCTGTTGGGTCTTTCTGTTGAGTAATTCCCACTGATTGTACTTCAGTATTGAGTGGTTGCAGCAGACAACGTTGGGACAGGCCAGCAGACCCACTAACAAGGGCTTGCCTTGAGGAGTCCCTGCAGGAGGCTGATGGCGCCTGTCTGTTTTTTTTTTATTTTATTTATTTTTTATTTTTTTTATCTAACACTGTTTGTCTATACTATTGTGGCTGTTTGATTGCGTTAGATGAAGAAGCTAGGAAACCAGTGTTATGTAATATGGCAGTAGCTTGTCAAAATTGAAGGAAGCCTACACAAATCCAGTTGTCAGTCCACCTCAATAAAAATCATTTAAATCAGTAATGTGTGGATTTTAAAGCTGGGTTGTAAAAATTCATGATTATTTCCTTTTAAACACAATTAGTGAGCCCTTTATTGAGATGTTAAAATTGCCCCTTTAGTATTGCCCTAAAGCAGCTATCATCACTTTTTTATAATAACAATGACCATAAGGTCTCTTTTAGCTAATTGTTTTGGTTTTACTGTATGCCACTTTATTGTTTGGCTCCTCTCCCCGCCCTCTTCAGTATTGTTTCCAGACACAAGGAGATGTTTTTAGTGGAAAAGCTCTGACAATTTGTACATTATGTATGCGGTACCAAATGGCAGACATAAAATGAGTTAATGATTAGCCAAAGATATTATCTGCTAATTGGTCACCAACTCCTGATATTTCCCTCAATAGCTGGTGGAAAATGGAGAGTGAATACTGGACTTACATTCACCAGATGGCCTAAGACAGGACTACGAATGAACGCTAATGTTCCTCCATATTTGCTACATGTGCAAATAAGAACCTGTTTGCTAACAAGTTCGCCATATCAACTTTAGAAGGTGATAATACAGTATGTCAGTGGTGTCTTTACAGCTTGTTTCAGCTGCTCATAAGTGCCCAAAAAAATCAGTTAATGGTCTACTTCAGTTAGGTCTTTGCTCCAGGCAGATATTAGTGTAACAATTTGGATTCCCTGTTCTCTGTTACATTGTTAAGTTATGTCATGTCATGCAAGTCCATAACTTGAACCACTGTTACATAGTAGATGGCCATACAGCCACCCATACAGATGAACTGCCTTATCATTGCATAACAAGTGGGTTGGGTTAGAGCAGGAAGTGAGGAAACGGAGCCTCCGCCCTCCTGATCACCAATCATACCACTGTATCAGATCGTCTTGTTTCGGTGGAGTCACCTTCAGACTTCTTGCCGGCCATCTCTCCCTCGCCTCCACTAACGCCACTTAACTTTATTACTGGGGCCCAGAATTAATTATAGCTGGAAGACCTGCCCAAGACCTGCTTCACTAATGGACTCTTCCATTCCATCATCTTTATTAAACCCTGCCCGTATCTCTCGTCCCCGCGTTGTAAAAGTCCAAGTCTTTGCTGCATTGTGGCCATGTGGTAAATTATATTCCCCTGTGATACGTTTTGGCATACAGTAGGGAAGCTAATGGATCTTATGTCTGCACTGAAATTTGCAAAAGTGCCCAGGCCTAATTGAATTTTCCTTGATTGCTAGGTATCTGGCTGCCGTTGCGGCGGTCAAAAGTATAAATAGTATCAAGGAGAAGTCGTATGATTCATTGATGGCAGTACTGACCAGAAACTACGGTGCAAGCTTAACACAGGCAGGAGATTGTGGCATAGGGACGAAATCTTGCTTTGACTTATCTATCAGCATGAATAGTAGTGGTTTTACATTTTTGAAAATAGTCTTTGGTGAAACCAATAATGGCCTTAAAGTGTGATTTTTGTTTTTTTTAATTTGAAAACTTTTATGGCTAAAATGTTGTAGCATTCTATCCTCATTTCTTCACACACAGACAATAATACAGTAGTAAAACTTCTACAGTTGCTCATTTTTACCTCGACAATGAGAGGCACTTCTGACCTTTTACAGTCTCTGGTACAGCACAAATATGAGACACTTTGTTTTGATGTATTTACACATGAATGGAACAACCTTCAGGAACATCGGGAATCATACCTACTGATCTTTATGCAACCTATTTGTTGTTTATAAATAATTTCTAATAACCAGACACATCTTTCCCTGACCAAGATTGATCTGCTTCCCACAACAAATCATTTTTAAATGACAAATGGGTTGCATAAAAAATCGAAAGCATAATTTATATTGTTCCTGAAGGTTATGCCTTTCAAATGCAAATGTGGTTGATCATAGAGTTTGATATTTTTGGAGAACCCGTAAAGGTCAGGTGTATGCATAGTTAACACAAAGCCATCTAGTTTTAGCGGTGGTAGTGTTATCTCGTTGTGAACTTTACATACTTTACATTTTTATTTCTAATTTCTAACACCAGAATGTTTTATCCATAAATTGGTCTATAAATTGTGCTAGTAGCACAAGAGCTCTGACTTTAATGTAGATACAAATATTCATTTAGCTCCCTTGGGGGTGCAAGTTGACATGAGTGTATGTGGCCAGTTGTATGATTGCAAAAAAAAAAAAAAAAAGCTGACACTGCTGATACTAAGCCCCTTAGTATTCTCTCATGTCTTTTGTCAACTGTGACTTGGCCAACCACAAATCTACATTGCCTCTTCTGTACCCAGGGTAAAGTCTGCACCTCAAAATCCAGAAGCCTCAGTGGGACTGAAGCGCCTCAATTTCTGATTTGTCCATACTTGAGTAGAGACTTGTTAGTTCCATGATCGCCATGAGTTCTGCAGTATGTCTAGAGATACTGGTGAACTAAATTAGGTACTTAAGTGTCTTATTGTATTATTGCCTAGTAATTTTTCTTTTTACTTAAAATTAAAAAAAAAAAAAAGTGAGAGAGACGGTGATTATTAGTGAAATGCCTCTCAAGTGGAACGTGCTGTAGAGATTCCCTCCCCCCACGTGCACCTCCTAATACCTGCTGACTAAGACCCCACTACTAATCACTTGGTTTATTCACATTGCAGCATGAAGCAGCTCAGCGAGTGCTCTCAACAGCCAGGTTCTAATGAGCGCTAATGAATGGGAAGATAATTTGTGGCCTCATTTGTTTGACTGTGCTGTTGCCTCCCCACCTTCCTCTCCCCTTTCACGGGTGTTGAGTGTTCCCCTGTGGGCTGGCGGTCAGTCGCTGCCTCTCGCGTCGTTTTAAGGGGGGAGCAATGACTTGACCTTCCTCTTGTCAGAAGACAGCTGCTCCTGTTTCATCCAATCACATCAGGCAGAATCACTACAGACACACCCTCTGAAAACCCTTTGTTATTACAATGAATATTCAAATCAACTAGTATTGTGTAGGATGTTGATATTATTCCCTTTCTTGGTGTCTATGTGTTGATAATTTATGTGGCTGTTTGTTGGAATTTTTTAACAGATTTAGGTTGTTGTTTGGTGTAAGAGTATATTTCAGAAGATGTTATACAATATGATATTTGCTACACAACCTTTTTAGCATAATATATCCACCACTAAAAGTATATCAATGGCAGTCATGTTAGAGTTTATAAATCTCTGTCAAATCAAAACACATTGATTGTTGTTACATTAGGATTGTTACAACAAAATTGAAATACTCTTGTCATTTCCCTTTAACCATTGTTTCATTTAGCATAATTGGTAGCTAAAATGAATGTTATGTGTCTGTCAATGCAATGTAATCTTACCAGCCTTTTCAGCTTTGTTACATAAAAATCAAGATTAATATGTTCATGCTTTGCAATGGTTTGTATCTGATATCCCTGTTTGTTATTACCAGGTACACAGCAGTACAGTAAATACACAGGCTATGCTAACACCTACCAATGGGGTGGCAGCCACCAGGACACAACCCCAAGGTATTTATGGCACTTAAAATGCATAAATTATAGCTTAATGCTACGTTTAACCCCTTCCCTACAATCATTTCAGGCGCTAACACCCTGCTTCAGGGGAGGGCAATTTCGTTTGGTTGGTCGGTCCACCACTTTAGTCCAGACTTAAATAGCTCTACAACTATTGGATGGATTGCAATCAAATTTTCATGGTACCCAGATAATTAATCCTACTGACTGTGGTGATCACCTGACTTTTATGACCAAATACCAGCAAAACAAATGACATTTACTTTGTGTTTAATTTAATTAGCAAATCAAGCATCTTAACAGGCTACATTAAGATGATAAAGATGGCAAACATTATACAGTACCTGCTAAACCTCAGGTATGTTAGCATTGTCATTAAAATCACATTGTTGTGCTGATGTTAGCATTTAATACAAAGCACCAAATACAGCCTCACCAAGAGCGTTAGTTTAGCAAATGCTCATATTCTCTGCAGCTTTTCATCATCCAAAGGTAGTAATTTAAAGCTTTAAGTATCATGTGAATTTTCTGTTAGAAAATGGTAAACTACAGACATGGCTTTTAATGTCTCATAGCATGCCTTGGTCATGCTTGTCAGGTTTCATTGACTTTCTCTTGTCCATCTTCCTATTTCTAACATGGATGTAGCTACAAGAAATTATTGCCCCATTTCACACACGCCGTGTGGATCTGTTGTACAGAAAACACTGCAAAACTATCTCTATGATTTGTTCCAGAGACGGCTGGCAGAGAAGATGTACAGAAATTGTGGCCATTGATGCACTGCAGTTCAGGAACTTTCTTGAACAGTTTAGCCCAGAGAGAATCAACCGAGAACTCAACAAGGTTATCTTGTATTTTTCCTTTAATGTGTGTTTCCTTCTTGATTTTTTGTTTGTTTGAGTGTTTTCATTTCATTCTCTTGTCTGTCTCGTTTTCAAAAGATAAATACTGGGTTTTGCCTTTTGCTCTTGTGCTTGGCACAAGATCAGACTCTGGTTTAGATGAAAATGTCTGACATCCAAAATAAAACATGCCAGCTCATTGGAAAACTGATATTAGTAAGCATATGGTAAGTGCTGCTCTAACTGCATTATTTTTCTTTTGTAGACAAATTATTTATGGCAGTGGAAGTGTGATGGGAATCTACCCACTACACTTTGATGTTACGCTTTGATCCCCTATAGTCTTGTTTCTTTAACAGTGTATGGCTACAGTGATGTAATTTTTTTAATTTATTTGGCATTTCGCATCATGCTTGGTTTGCACAGATTTAATGGTTTCAGTGTAAATCCATTTGCCTGACAATCGGAAAACTGTCTCTTCACAAATGCCAGCTGAGATGACATTGACTCATGTTTACTTTTCTCATGGTAAATATTTGAATTATAGATACGTGTGTAATGCAGACTGATGCATTGTCATTTATGTAGAGAATAAGCTTAATCTTGTTCATTACACTGTCCATTAGACCCAGAATGAATTTTAATCAACGTAATTGACCTCAGGGTGATTAATCACAATTATTAAATTTACATCACAGATTTTAAAAAAAAATAGGAATCCTTCCATATGTGGTGTCTTCCCAGTCCAAGATGCTCATTCGTAATAGAAAATCAAGATGTTAATATTGTCAAGTCTGCCGTCAGAAAGCATGGAGGAGTTTGACAGCTCTGACAGGGGTGTGAAGAATGCACCAACATGAAGATCAATCCTGTTTCGAATATTGTTTAGTGAACTGTCATATCTGCCCTTTCACAGGAAGAATTTATGACTGTTCAGGGAGAGGATGTGCTCTTACAATTCAGTTTCACAATTGACTTCATCTCCAATCTGAAGACTAATGTCCAGAGCCCCTTCAGATCTTTTATTTAATATCTGCTGCTACTAGAAATTATTTTGACATATGTGACATATAACCCACTTGACGTGTGAAATGCTCATGCACATGGATTTTGTCCGCAGTGTGCAATTACTAATGTGTAAAACCCAAGCCGGTTTCTCTCGAGTGGCAGTGAAATTGTGGTGCGAATTTGCCAAATGACACAATGGTAAAAATGTATGTTCTGTCAGGCCAATCAACCTATGCGCGCTTTCACTCAACAATGTGTTGAGCTCAGGCCTGCAGGCCATCAGAATTATTTTGTCGCTCGCTTTCTATATATTCCATTTACATTTGATGGTATGGAGATGTTCTGTAGGGCTGGCTGTTATTATACATACCACTGATCTGGAACAGTGGGCTGATCCCAAGACCTGAGGCTCGTCAGAGCTGATTCTGGCTTTTTGTACCAAATGACATATCGTTCCCCACTCACTTGAATGGCACGGCCTCATGTGGCCGACAGCTTGATGTAATGTCACCCCAAGAAAACCAGGTTCGTTCACAATTTTGAGAACAGAAGGTTTGCTTATTGTGAGGCAATGCCAGTGTCTGAAATCACTCCCTATTTGCTACCTAGTACATTATATTGACTTTTATTTCAGTGTCCAAATCTCTCTCTCAATGTCCAAATATATATAACCCCTTAAAATTCCCACAAAATGTAGTGTGTGTAGCACAAATACAGCTTTTTGCTAAAAATCCCATAGTGCAATGTTTTGCCTTTTAATAACAGTTATTTGACACTACATAATCATGATGATTCATAGTAATGATTCATAAGTCTCAGTGTTCAGCTCACTATGAAATAAAGTACTGTTTTCTACATAAAGAGTAGTGAATAATTTCAGACACAGCAAATGTTTTTTTTTTACTTGATCTTATGTCCTATCATATCAACCTGTGTATTTCTTTGTCCTTACATTTCCTTTGCTAACTTGCTGCCTCGTCATTTAGGCCTACTGTGGCTTTGCTCGCCCTGAGGAACAAAGTCAAAACCTTGCGGCAGTGGCGACAGGGAACTGGGGCTGTGGGGTTTTTGGAGGAGACACGCGTCTCAAAGGTAAGCACTGACGTTACACTGCCGTCAGCAGATTTTGTGCAGAAATGTGCTCGGATCATCTTTGCGCACTTGGCAGTCTTAGCGAACTCTCCTCCTGGTTATAACAGAATACATTTCAGATTGAAAGGCTCCAGCAGATCAGTGTGGGCACCCATTTGTCTTCCGGGAATGCGTTCATTTACTTAAGGCCTGCTCGTCGCCTTCCTTCTATTGATCAAATGACAAAGTTAATATGTTTCATTAATAGTGAAATTGATCGCTTGCTCGAGTCCATCAATCCGTTACAGCACTTTGTCTGAGCCTTGTTTCACTGTCACTGAGCAGGGAGCTTAAGGAGAGTCTATACTAACCGCTTGCAGTAGTAGCTCGGCTTCTCACTTTCCACCTGACTTAGCGCCCCCGTGCTTTCAAGCTATACATACATCCATACATATTTGTTAATTAGCTGAAGCAAGGTACAGCCCTCCATAGACACAATCACCTACTGCCTGCTTAATGACATGCCTCCCGGGAAGAGCTTCGTAATTCAGATGGCGCTCTCCTCCTGGGTTTACCTTCTGTGGCCTCGCATAGCCACTTATTTTTTAATTGTCAGATAATTTTTGAAGAAAGTAGTTGTAACAGAACAGAGGAGAGAAACTGCTGAAGCGCAGACATATTCAGCTCAGCCCTCTTCTGAAAATGTTGATTCAGTTTTCCTCATTAACTTGCCACTGTCCCAACCTTCATTAATCAGCAGACACATTTCCAGTCTCTTAAAATATTCACAGCTCTCCGGGGCCAGACCTGGCCTCTCTTTGTAACTAATCCAGAGTTCTCAGTAGGGGTGAGACCTATTCCCTCGATTATTTACCTTTTACTGTACATGCCACAGAGGCTGTTGCCGCTCACTAATTGTGATTCAGCTACTGGATGACTCCTCAAACCTCTGTTTATTTGACCTTTGCTGTAGTAAAAAGATTAAAGCGTGAGAACAAAGTATAAGCCAAGTTTCAATTCAGTAAAGGCCAATCCTTCTACTGCACTGAAACAGATTTTGTGTCACTCTCACTGTTTAGATTTAACGCAGCCTTCTTTTCCTCCAGCTCTGCTCCAGATGCTGGCAGCTGCTGAGGCGGGCCGAGATGTAGCCTATTTCACCTTTGGTGACAGCCAGCTCATGACAGATGTCCACAACATGCACTCTTTCCTCACTCAGAGGAATATCGGTGTCGGTAAGGCAAACAAGCATCTTGCCTGCTTCTTGTTTATATGCAACTGAGCTTCTCTAATATGCACTTTTTTGTGATTGCACTGCCAACGGTGTGGCGCATGGTTTAACACTATGATTCATTTTTTTATTTTAGAATTCTGTTTCCTCTTAGGATTTTGTTGTAAATGATGTGAACTCATGACACAATAATATGGCTTATTACAGATGGTGAAAACTTGTCCACATGTCCCTTGCTGTAATATCAGTCCACTGCGCAACATACACAATCTCCTTGTCTCCATTACAGGGGAGGTGTATGATCTCCTGGGGCAGTACTACAGCTCAGTGTGCAGGAGCTGCCTCGGTCGGCGCCCTGACGTCAGCCTCTACTCCTTCATCTACCAACAGGTCAGCTCCTCCCCTGGTGCCCGATGAATCCGACAGGCGCTCGGCCAGACAACATGTCCCCACAGACTGCCATTAAGGTCAGGTGGCCGATGAGTCACCACGCCTTATCTTCGGAAAGCGAAACGCTTACCAGTCTGCCTTTTAGATTTATTTTTTATCGTAATGTTTTTGTTAGACAAACTTTAAATTAACAGTACCAAAAGTGGTCTCCACCACTGGCAGCTGAAAGTGAAAATCTGGCACGCAGATCCTTTTCAAAAACAACCGACCTGCAGAAGGGGATTAGTTAATGACCCTGTCTGTCGCTGCAGTCCACCCTGTGTTCATTTTGCTGCTGCTGGATATACGCCAATGGATTGAGCTTCAATATGACGCAATTGTGATTTTAATGGTGAGGCAAAGGTTGCCATCCATCTTCAGAGTTTGTCATGTTGCCTTTTTTTTACACCCACACATATCCAGCCTAATTGAATTGGCTGTCAGAAATCAAGTTAAAGGAAAAGAATAACAAGAACAGGGTTTGGAAAGCTTGAAGCATTCTCTGAAAAGCGGTTTGGTTTAAGAAAGCAGTCTGGCTCTTTGTGAAGTAATCTCTTACCTTCTGCATTTATAGCTATGAAATTCTGGTTACGATTATGGTTCTACGAATACATTTTTGTGGGTTCTTGGTTGTGTGTGATAAACATTCCAAAGAACCCAGATGCACTTAAAATATGAATTAGCTTTGTTTGTTTCTGTATTTTACAGCTGATTTCAGGGTCAATTTGTTTCTAATATTTGTTCAATTTGAATGAAAATTGAGGAATTTTTCTGAAAAATTTTGTTTTTCAAACAACCTTAATAAAAATGAATCAGTTTTAAGTTAATGTCATATTCTTATCTTTAATATTGCCTATATTTTATTCTGTAGCACCGTTCGAATGGAGCCACAAATGTCAGTAATACATCTCTGAACAATCAGTATGATGGCTTCTTGTCCCATGGATGTTACAGGCTAAATGAGTTTCCATACAGCCTTGCCATTTATCTTTCCCCAGCTATTGCTTCACCCTTTCACTCACAGTTTAATAAGGTCATACCTTTTATATAAACTGTACATGACACCTCATTAAGTAAAGAGTAGATCATAGAACATCCAGTCAGAGGCGAGAGTCAGGCAGTGGGGCTCCCGTGTGATTTCTCTGCCTGGTGGACAAAACACAGCGTCATTTGCATCAAGAAGAAGCTGCTTGACGGAGGTCTCAGAGGTTTGACCTTTGACATTTTGTATTCAGGTTTGTTGACATTTGACAATTTTTTAAGCAACGTAAGGCACGTAAAATATTCAATTTAACACACAACATTAAAAAGTTAAAGTTGATATGTATACTAATACCATATAACAAAAAATGTAATACCCTGCTTGTTTTTTAGCCTCTTACTGTTTGGTTAGTCGATGATAGACATTACTGAGTATTCCAGTGATGCGTGTGTTGACTTTTTCTCTGTGTGATTATCTAGTTACTTGCCTAATGAGCTGTTATCTGTCACTATACAGATTACCCAGTCAGCAGGAGTTTATTGACTAAATATTTTGAGTTGAATGTTAAATTGGTTTTGTCCCCACCACGCGCGGTACTGAATGGACTCCTGGGAGCCTGTAAATGAATGAATGAATGAATGAGGTGTAGGCGTCTCTAAGCTCGGCGCTGTCTGCCTTCATGGAATCAGGACCAGAAGTAGGGGGTCTCTCTTTGTAGCTGGCTGAGTTCAAAAAAAGCCTTTGGTGGCGTCTCTCTCAAGGGGATTCACCAGAGACACACAGGGGTTTCCTACTGGATTGAGCCCTCTGCAGTGAGCCTCATGCGTGTCTTTGACCTTTTGGCTGCCATCTGTCATAAAGCCATGAACACGAACAGTGTTTAGTCATTTAAACATAATCACTCTATTGCAGTTTGTAAATGGAAAAGTTAAGTAAATAATGCTGGCAGATATTGAACTTTATAAGTTCAAATAAAATTGTGTTTCTTCACAAAACATCTGCTTCCCGCTGCCGGTTAATTAAATTATAAATGCGTGATTTCAATTTCTGTTGTTTTTTACTTGTGTTGTTTTTAGCAATGCTAGCAGTGTGGCGCTAGGAATGGCAATGTCCGTTGTTTGGGGAGTGCGTTCAGACTGAAATATTAACCGCTGGATGGATTGCCATGACGTCAATGAGCCCTTGACTTTTCCTCCAGCGCCACCAGCAGGTTGAAGTTTTCCCTATTAAGTGAAATATCTCAACTTCTGCTGAATGCATTGGCATAAATTTTGGACGGACATTCATGGTTCCCAGAAGATAAATCCTACAGACCTTTAGTGATCCCCTGACTTTACCTCTAGCGCCACCATGTGATTGACATTTGTGGGTTTTTTTGTGAAATGACTCAACAATTATTAGATGGATTGTCATGCAACAAGGGAGACAGCGCATCCTTGGCTAGTGCCCCAGAGAAGAATGACACTTTGTGATTTTACTCCATTACTCATGGATGAAGGTACTCAAAACAGTAACTGAACTGATAAATGCTATACATCAAGTGTAGCAAAGAGAAATCTAGTTAGAATTGTAAAATGCATTTAAATGCATCCAGGAAGAGTGTGTTGAAGCATGAATGAGGAAGTGCAGCAGTCACTTCTTCCCGGCTCAAATGGCAAATTTGGTCTTGAGTTGAGTTCATTGTGGAGAATCACGGGATCAAGCAACCTTACAGTGTTTTCATACATTTGAACTGACACACAGCGCTATAGTAATGCCAAGTTTTCTTTAGTCAAGTGTATGAATTATCAATGGACCCCAGAGAACAAATAACATGCATCAAACAGTCCATCATTAGATTCTTTTGAAGCTGGAACAACGTTGCCACATAATTTTCTGCATTTTTGCTTTGTTTCCATCCAAGAAGGTCAGGTCTGATAATGTAGGGTACTGTATTATAAATGGGGAGGCCTATTTAAATTCATTATCGGCTATTTACTTCATATTTCCTTGTCATTTTTGATCATTAGTGGAAACTCCCTGTTGTGTTTGGAGGAGTTATGCAAGGTTCGGTTGGCCACAGATTAAAGGCATTATCAGCTGAATATTGATATGTTTGATGAAACCCTGGGAGCTGCAGCTTACATTTGTTTGGACTGAGGACATAAGACAAAAATAGAATTCGTTGTCATGAGCTCTCTTTTGCTAATTATTCATGCTATGTCCTTTCCATGATAAAGTTCTTATTTTATGAAAAAGGAAAATGGATGCTGTACAACCACCTGGGGCATCAGGGAACTTGTGGGATGCAGCTAATTTGCATTTGATGCTAATCTTGGAACATTGGTCCTGAATTATTGCCATATCTCTATTGGTACTAGCAAGCATGGTTGATATGTAAAAGTATTCACTGCTAACATCTAAGTAGACAAAAAAAAAAAGATTAAAAGATCGATTAACAATTTAACATCTGGGTAGGGTCCAGTACATTCTTCAAGCTGTCAATGTATTTTTTTCATTTTGAAACCTTTGCAGTATGACCACGCTATTACAGGAGTCACCTGTTCAGAATTAGAAATGACATTTTAGACATCAAAGAGCTCACTCTGAGGTGGTTATACTCCTACTCTAATTAATCTATGCACTTTCAGTTTTCAAAGGGATTTATTAAGAAATGTTTTTCTGGCATGACCCTCAGCACAGGTGCATCTGGTTACAGTAGCTCATTTACTCGAGTGGGACACAGTCAGTCGAGCTTAATGTTGAATCTGAGGCTATATTTTGTAGTTACACACTTCTCCAAGACACATAAAGCCAAAATGTGATTTTCAAGCCGTGGTAGGGAAAAACACTTGCAATAATCATTGTCATCTTGGAACAAATTGCAGCCACACCCATCAATTCTTTCTCCCAGCCATCAGCAAGTTTATTAAGCCATTAATGACCCATGTTCCTCTGCAGGCAGGATGTTTGCCTTGTCATGGTCGTGTTCTCCAAATTTAAGCATCGCTCTTCCGTTAAATCAAATTTTTTGATTGATCACATGTCCTCTGTAAATGTCCTCAACTCTCACTGCTGTATCTGTGAGCTTGTTTGAACTCGGCATGACCTAAATGTTTCACCACTTCCTCTGTGTCCTGTGTGGCGCCTTAGCAGTGGCATAGACGCTATCGTTTGATGGTAATTGTGTCTCTCCTCCGGCTCTACACATGCTGAGATGGTTCCTCGTCCAAAGGCAGTTCCTTCGCTGCACCGAAAACCTGCTTGCATTGTCTTTTATTCAGTCTAAATAGCCTGCAGTCAAAGGCTCTCTTAAATATGGCCTGCTCTAGAGGAGGCGGAGGTGGTGTATAAATCCATAACAACAGCAATTATTTATTAGTGACAGCCTTCTATGGCCATTTTAGTTCAAATGTTTCCACTGCAATTGATCCGAAAGAAAAATCCATTTTTATGTGATAGCTGTAGCTTTTAACCAAACTGACTGCTCGCTCCGTAAGGTCAAGGATTGAGTGAGTGAAGTTATTTTTGCTCCTAGTGTTATAAGATTGCCTATCTATCATTTGAGTGTCATGTGATTGATACTGACTCAGCTTGAATGAAAGATGGAGCAAGGCCATCGCTGCTCACACACAAGAGTAAAGAATGGCCTGATCGCCACAACAGCTTGTGAAGAAGAAGCCCATGAAGGATATGTGGGAGAAAAATGTACGAGTTAACTACCTCTTGTGTTGCGCTATTTCTCATTTAAACTTATTTGAAATGAGTTCTTACTCACTATGTTTTTTTTTCTTTATAAAACTTATAACCTCAGCATGTTTAGTGGGGAAAAAAAAAAAAAAAACTGCTGGACGGGCAATTGTGGAAAGATGATTAGCTCCAAGTGTGTATGCAAACATTTAATTTGGGCACAGTTCACATATTGCTGACCACTTAAATTTGCATGAACTGTTCATTAGCTGTCGAGTACGCTTGCTGATTTCATTTTAACATATATTCAGATTGTAGACGTCAAATTTAACTATCCAAAGGCACCAGGTATGAACTATTCATTTTTGCGGTATATGGCTGAATTGGTTTATTTTCTCAAGTTTATCTGTTTTGAACTGAAGGCATGTCTTCCGGACTTTAATTGCACACTTGTTGCTCCTTCCACCCATGAGGCAGATAACACCATCTGTTTCGTGTCCGCACAAGACCAATCATAATTTCAAAAAGAGAAAAATATATTCAGTTCCCTGGCAAAGATTTCAAAGTGCTACAGGAAGCTTATTAGGGAACAAGCACAAGTTTTATTTCTGCTTTAAGAATATTTTAAACTATAACATGACTTGCAGAGGAGGAGGGTGTGCGTAGAATGAGATGTATAGATGAGTGCATGTATGTTGGTATTAGGGTACTTTCAGCATGTTACCACATCAGATGAATTTCTCTCTTGGGGTTTCAGAGGTGCAAGAGACAGATGCTTCCCACACATTTCAAAGGAGGAAGACTTTTGGCCTTGATCATTTTCAGGATATGATTAGATTCCAACACATGGCAACGGTCGTTATCTGGTAGAAAAACAAGGCAAATAAGTTTGAATGTATTTTTATTTCATAGATGTAGTGCTGAAATGATTCATTGATTAGTCTGGTAAAAAAAATCACTAAAATCCAAACAGCAGGTGGTTCCAGCTAATCAAATGTGAGGATTTAATGTGTTTTTCTGTTTTATATCATTATAAATTGAGCTTCCTTTGGGTGTTGTATTGTTGGTTGGGCAAACCAACAATTCAACGGTGTCGCCTCGGGCTCTGAGAATCGTTTTCATAATGCTGACATAACTTCTAAACTATCAAT